TCCTCTTACTAAATTTTAAGAGCTACAAAAAACAGTTGCAAATATAACGTTTTACTGCATTATATGTGTGATACTGCATTTAATTGTTAATATTCAGCAATATATATGCTGAAACGCTGAAATGCAAAATGTTTAGGTAGTACACCTGAATACCGGGAAATTTCCGGTATTTAGGTGGCCACTGAATATCGGGAAATTTCTTGGCGGGCTGGTTTGAAAACCAATAACATGAAGGCCAATAAATCAACCCTGTCTTTACCCATATCCAGCATAGACAACAACATCAGAATTTTATTTTTATAAAAAAACAATTCTGATGCTTTGAATACGTTTTACTTTATTTTTCATTTACATTTTATCATCTCAAAGAAATTATTGTCTTATATTATATGTATATTTATTCGTAATTTATAAACATTTTACAATGGTCTTGTTTCACAATTTTCATCATTAAAATTTAAATAAAGATTTTTATTTACTGGAGAAAGTAGAAGACAGAAACCTTTTCATCAAGCCTCTACGCCGTAAAGTATTTTAAATTTAGCGTAAAGTATTTTTTACAAACTTTTCATTATATAAACTTACTTATACTCGTTATATAAGACAAATTAAGTTTGAGCCTTAAAAAACTGTTTATTGTTTCTAACTTAGTACACTTTGTACAATCATAAGATACTCCTTGTTTTCTATTTTTAAGGTAACTCTATAGCCATTTTAAGTTTCTATTTATTACTCCATATGTTTCTAGTTTATACAAGAGCAATTCATGACCAACAGTGTCAAAAGCTTTTGACAAGTGGATAAACAAGCCAAAAGTATAACTTTTTTTTGCAAAATTGTCCAGAATTAGACTGGCTAAATCAGTTACAGAATGATGTGTTAAAAGCCCGTTTCGAAAACCAAAATATTTGCTGAATGAAATATTATATTTATATTTTTTCGGGGCGGGTGGTGGTAGGGGCACTCCTTGATTTAAAAATAAAATTCTCTATTTAAAAAAAAAATGCTTTTCAAAAAAAAAAAAAAAAGCCATCCCTCACCCCCCAGTATTTTTCAGTGATTTAAACAAGCCTTTATTAAATTTATAGCAATATGCTATAGAATGCAAATTAGCTGGTCGATTGTTATAATTTTTATAAACTGTTTTCTATTTCAGCGCAATTTAATGGTGCATGTCAAATTAACGGCAACAAAAAAAAAACAAACAAACAAAAATCAGCTTTAAAAATAAGAAGTGGAAATAATAATAAAGTGTAAAAGTATTGATAAAAAAGTATATATTTGATGGATTTTGATGAACAAATGTTTTTTTAAAAGGGTTTTATATAAGGAACTCTTATTACCAAAATATATATGAATAATAATTTAAGAAACCGACATATTGTTATGTTTAAGTTTGCACGTTTATATGTATCTAACCTAAAAAAAACATAGTTTCAAAAGTATTTCCAGATATATTTTGAACTGATAACACGGTATTAACAAAATAATATAAAAAATCAGCTCAAAAAACAAATCCATTATTACGACAATTATTATTACAATAAATGTCCTAGCAATAATAATAATAGTAATAATAATAATAATAATAATAAAACAATTGTATGTAATCAGGCTTGGTTGGGAAGCAGGAGCGATCGCTCTCAATTACTGAAAACGGAAATAGAATTTAGTTGCGAAAAAATTAGCCAGATTTTTTTGTCGTTTAAAGAACATTTTAAATAACAAAAAACAAAGCGCAAAAAAGATTAATTGGACCAACAAGAGAAAATAACTTAAAAAATAAATAAACTATGAAAACAAAATATCTTTTAACACAAAAAAAGCAAAATAAATTAAATTTAGAACAAATATTTTTGAAACATTGCTCTTTTGTAATTTTTTTACAAAATTAAGCGACATTTTTATATAAAGTAATATCTTACTATTGCTTAAAAAGAAAACAATTTTTTTTTATTTATCAAAGAGTATAATATAATTTTTATTTATATACTCATGTCTTATTTCCAGTGCTAGATTAAGGAGAATTGAGGTTAGAAGGGGATATAGCCCCAGCCTCCACAATAGTAGGGGCCCTGAAAAAGTAAAGAAGATCTTTTTTTTAATCATTTTCTATCTGTGGCACATAAAAAGGCCTCCAAAAAAAAATAGCCCCTGGCCCCAAAAGGTCTAACAAGATTTTAATTTTAATAAAACTAACGCTAGTTTTAGTTTTATTTAAGTTAAATTGTTTAATATATAAAAAAGTTAATTTTTTTAATAACAATTTTTTGCTTCTCGTAGTTTAAAAAGTTTAACATATTTGAAACAATTCTTCTAAGTAAGATGAACAAATGAAATAATTAAATCATTGAGTTACTATAGAAATTAAATTAACTGGATAGAAATCAACTAAAAAGGTTAAAAATACTTTATGACGAGGAAGCGAAACTGCTACACAATATCGCTGATGATGTTTAGTGAGTGTAAGCTTTTAAATTTTAATTAGTATTTAAAACAGAAAAAAGTATAACGAGATTTTAAGAATGGCAACTGAAGCGAAATAATCAGAATTAGTAAATCAATATCTGAAACCTTTTCTTTATATCTAATAACTTTCTATATATTTGTGTTCTGTCGTGAACTCAGGCACAGCGCTTGTTCTTCCGTGAGTTACTTTGTATGCATGTTTGTGTTTAGTAACCAAGTTCTTGTTTAATTCATAATTAGTTTTATTAACTTTGATGAATAATAATAACTTCATTAAAAACACAATTATTTGTGAAATTATTAGTCTTTGTTTACAAAATAAATTGTAAAAATTGTTCTAAAAGATTACATTAGAATAAAAAACAGGTACATAAAAATACATTTACATTAAAAATACACACTTTTTAAATAAAAAATAAGAACAATATACTAATAAAATCTATAATTTATAACAAACTTTAAAAATTTTGACAATTTAAAAAATATATAAAAAATTAATTTTTGTAAACAAATAATAAAAATTTAAAAGATTTACGGCTTTGGAGATGTGGCTCCGAGAATGAGCTATGGTATTAAAATAATAGTTTGTTTGATAATATATTCTTAAAACAATTTATGCTAGAAATCTCATAACTTAAATCTTGAATAATGATACAATTTTTAAAACATTTTAACAGAATACTCTTAAACCTTATTTTGCATAGTCATTTTAGCATATTTTTCAAACCAATAGAATTAGTTTGTTCATAAATTTGGAGGGTTTTTAGTATTTGCCAATATTTTTTTTATTCTTCCGCACCAAGATGTTTTGAGAAAATTTAAGTTTTTATATTTTTCCATGTATATTGGCAAAACAAAAATTTTTTGTTTTACGGACATGCATAAACTTAAATGTTCTCAAAACAACTAAAAAACCTGGCCAATGTTTTGCAACTAAATAATATCAAATAATATTTATTTGGTCAATATTAGAGCGCAATTGCTCCTGCTTCCTGACCAAGTCTGTGTAATGTGTGGTATTAGATAAAAAATATTATAATTTAACGGTGACATAAATTAAGTTGGAAAAATATAAATTTGGTCAAATACAGCTTCTAGTAAAATTAAATTTAAAAAACATATTTATTACATAAAACTTTTTTTATATATTACTATTATAAAAACCATATTCTTTATCGATTAAAAAAATTCCCTTGAAAAAATATTTCCTATTCAAAATAAATTTCTTGATAACCTATAAGACAAATATTTTAAATAATTACCGTAATTAGGCTAACCCATTGTTAAATGTTTACCCAACTAATGTTTAGATTATTTGCATACAAAACAATTCAAAATGCAAGTTATGAATCTGGATTATTTTAAATTTGATTTTTTTTTAATTGAGTAAATAACCATGCTTTTAATTGTTTTAAATTAATTTAAGTGCATTAATAATAGAAATAATGATATTAACGACAGAAAAATTTAAACAATTGCTGGTCTCTAACGTCTCTAACAGAGGAAGAGCAAGGATACTTTGGCAAATCAGACATAAGCTCATTAGCATTAACTCATAAGAATTGCAGTTCTTTTTTATAAATTTATAGGATTTTTTTTATTTGAAAATTAAAATTGTCATTGCAAACATGCAAAAATAGGATTTGTGATAAGTTAACATACAATAAAAAGAATAAGTTTGTGAATCACTAACATACAAAAAGAGGATTTGGAAATGTTAATATACAATAATAAGATAAGTTTGTAAATCAATAACTTGCAATAACAAGATTTGCGAATTGCTAACATACAGTAATAGGATAGGTTTTTGAATCACTAACACACAATATCAGAATTTAGGAATTGTTAACATGCAATAAAAGAATTTGTGAATTGCTAACAAGCAACAACATGATTTGTGTATTAATATACAATAATAGGATAAGTTTGTAAATCACTAACATACAATATCAGGATTTAGGAATTGTTAACATGCAATAAAAGAATTTGTGAATTGCTAACAAGCAACAACATGATTTGTGTATTATTAATATACAATAATAGGATAAGTTTGTGAATCACTAACATGCAGTAACAGGATTTGGGAATTGTTAACATGCAATAACAAGATTTGCGAATTCTGTTATTACATGTTAACAATTCAACATAGGCAATACAGGTACCAAGGAAACTGTCCAGTTAGGTAGGCAGGATGGTACAATCAGAAAATATAATAAATAAAAGTAAACCAAAGAAAACAAATTCAAAGACTATTAAATTCATTGTTAAAACCACAATAACTAAAAAGTAATAACTTTTGCTTCTATTCTTTTTGAATGCACCAATTTGTATTAACTTAATTATTCTGATTATTTCATATGTGTTTGTTTTTGACTAAGTAAAAAGTAAAAAAAGTAAAAACCAGAAAACAGATAATAAATTTAAATTTTATTAATAAAATTAAGCTGAAACTTTTTAATACCTTCCCATATTTTCATTAGCCCCAAAATTTGTTTTGATATTATTTTGACATATACAAAAAACAAACTTACTTTGAACAGGTATACCATTTAAATTTGAGTATAATACTCTTTGAAATGGCTGATTACCGGATGTTACACTCCATGTGTCACTTTCATTTGTTTCAAAACTAGAATTCCAAACAACTTCAGCATACACATCTAAAATAATAATAGATAAGAAAAATGTACTTAAAAGAGATATATTGGAAAAAAATACAGTTTAAAGTAGGGAAATTTTGAGGAACAAATTAATTTAGCTAATATTAAATAAAAAAATTAACAAATTAATTTAGCTAAATGGTTCATTTTTAAACATTATGTGTTTAAACCTCATTCCTAAGATCAAACAAAAGTATAATTTATTATTAAAAAACATAATGCATTTAAAATAAATTTTTTTTTTTGCCATTGCTAAATAATCAAAGATTAGAATGCTTTTCATTTAATCATCATAAAGATTCTTTTAACTATTTAATCATTATAGATAATCTTTCCACTTTATGATCATAATAGATATTCTTTCAACTTTATGATCATAATAGAGTTTTTTTGAAGTCTTTATTCATCTTTAATCATCAGAGAGTTCAAAGCATTTATGATGATTAAAGAGTTCTATGATAATCAAAGAGTTAAAAAAATCTCTATGATGATCAGAGAGTTTAATAAATCTTTATGAGGATCAGAGAGTTCAATAAATCTCAATGAGAATCTCAGATTTCATTATTGAGTTTATCATAAAGATTCTTTAAACTTTTAGATCATCATAGTATTTCTTTAGAACCTTTGATCATTATAGAACTTCTTTGCACTGCCTGATCATTATAAAGATTCTTTAAAATCTTTGATCATCAGAAATACTTTGAACTTCTCTATTTAATTATGCACAGGGAACAGCAACAGCATTAAACAACAATAGCATTGATTAAAATATATAAAAAGTAAAGTCTTGGAATTCTTAATTTGTAACTGTTTTTCTTTGCTTACAATTTACTAACTAAAAACCTACATTCAATCTAAAAGTCCATTAAAAAAAATGATTGTAACTATTTTTTTACTTGACATTTGATTATTAAGATTTTTGTAAGAGTCTAGTGAACATTTATTAACTAGAAAGATTATCTTATTAATATGCTAATTATTCTATTATAATTTAATTAAATCTAAATTCTAATAACATTTTAAATAATAAAATCAAAATGTCCTTGTATTAGCAGAGCCAAAGTAGGAATCAAAATTGGAATTTCTTATTTATGAAGTGAGCCCTCAAACATTACACTAGTTTATGTTAAATTATCTCTGTCATAAGATTTAAATAGACCCAGTAGTTTTAAATAAAAAATATCAATAAAAATCAACATAACCCAATATTTTAAAGAAAACTTGTTATGAGTAGAGATTTAAAAACATAAAATCTTTCAGATTGAAGTGAAAGAGTCTATCTTTTTAAAATGTTTTAAGTCATACACAAACTGAACATGCTTAATAAACACCTTGTACCAGAAATATTATTCAAATCTAAAGCAGGCAACTTTGTATAAAATAAACTCAAAAAACTTATCGAAATACAACTGTAAAAATCTAATATATGCATTTGTTATGGATAAATATATATATATATATATATATATATATATATATATATATATATATATATATATATATATATATATATATATATATATATATATATATATATATATATATATATATTATTTATTTGATACAGACAACAAGTACAGTACAAGGTCCACAGCTAAGATTAAAGAAAATAATTAAAAGTTCTGTTTAATTTATACACAGTTGCATTGCTGCTGGCACAGGTAACTAACTGTTTTATAAGGCTAAGTCTGTTTAGGCTTATAAATCAGTTACTTTTAACAAGACTTGCCTAATCTAGATTAGGCAAGCCTAGTACCAGAAACATAATTGTAGCTCTTAAGTTCTTGTGATATCCAAAAAATATTTTAGTACATTTCTTGCAAGAATCTAGCTTTAACATGGTATTTGCACTAAAATTAGTCCATAGAACCACATCATAAAAACAGAGAAGATCTTAAATAGCTACTTTTTACCTTAACCAAGCATTTCTTGAATCATCTGATTAATATGTTTATATGTGCATAAAGACATTTAATCTCTCGATTTATATCAGCATCATTAAACAAACCATTTTCCATTATGTGACCCAGATACTTGAATTTGTCATTGAAAACTAATTCACATCTAGCTAAGGTAAACAGTAGAAAATTGCTTGACACAATCTTGCATCTCTGCTTTGGGTTAAATACCATACACACCAGATTTTTTTGTATTAAATGACATGTTAATGGCAGTGGCTTCAATATTTAATGCAGTTTATAATTTTTGCAATGCAAACCAAGAAGAAGCAACTAGTACAATATTGTCGGCATATACCAAAAGATTTTAAAAAGTTCTACTTATGTTACATGGAATATGCATATTCGAATTATTGAAATCAGTTTTCTTGTATAAAATATGAACAAGAAAAGAATTCCAACTTTCGGTACATTATTGCCTATGTTAAAGCTATCAGAGTTTACTTTCTGCTATCTGACAAACAAAGTTTGATCATTTATAGCATTTTTCGCGGGTTATCATTAAGTGAACTATATAGTGTATGAAAATGTGTCTTCCACATAGTGATGATGTTGTTGTCATTAGTAACTCCACCAATACTAGCAACATGATTGGTTGCCTTTACATTTTCATACACACTGTTTCAAAACTTTAAAGGATCACCATTTTTGATATTCTCTGCACATTTATCAGCTTTAATTTACTCAGTATGATTTTTACAATGCCTAAAAGCATGTTTAAATACTGCTCAAGTTTTGTTACTTTTTTATTCTTTTAAAGATTGTTCCATAATTAGTTTTTCCATAAATTACCTTATGTTTGAAAGCATCCTGGGCAAATTTGTGTTGATCTGCAACATGGTCATTCCATCCGGGAACATTAAATTCAGAAATTACTTTTAAATCCCTAAGTAGTATAAAACCCCTCTCGTAGTATAAAAGTTTCCTTGTTGGACAGCACTCTTCTTCTTATTCTGTAACCTCAGGGGTTCCTCAAGGCTCAATCCTTGGCCCTATACTCTTTTTAATTTACTTTAATATTTCTAATTTTTAATTTACTTTAATATTTTTTTTTTAATTACTACAATATTTAATATTTCTGTTTACATTAATGATCTCCCAGGTATTCTCACATCTAAGGTGGCATTGTTCCCTGATGATACTACCATTTATTATTGTCATGATAAGAAGCCAACACTTTCTTATTGCTTGGAGGGGGCGTTTGAGCTTGAAAAGGATCTCACTTCTGCTACAGCATGGGGCTCACAGTGGCTGGTGAACTTTAATTCATATAAATTCAATTTTTTTCAGCCAATTGTATATATATATATATATATATATATATATATATATATATATATATATATATATATATATATATATATATATATATATATATATATATATATATATATATATATATATATATATATACATATATATATATATATATATATATATATATATATATATATATATATATATATATATATATATATATATATATATAAATATAAAGAAAGAAACAGAAAGAAAATAAATACATAAATGTGTAAATACAGCAGACTTTTTTTTTTAATTAATTTCATTTCCTCTCTCAGTAAGATTTTCAGTTTTATAAAGGACAGTAAAAATTGTTTGATGATTCGTTAAGTTAACATTTTGGAGAGTTGCTAGTTTTATTGGTTATACTCTTGAGTATATACACAATGAAGTTTTAGCCTTTGCTTATTGTCAATAAATAAATATAACATCATTTTGGCTATGAGAAAGAAAGTTGTGATTCAAAAATATTTGTTAAATCTTCAAACAAAATCAAGCTACAATGGTGAATATATTTGTTAAATCTTCAAAAAAAATCAAGCTACAATGGTGTATCACTCTTATTAGAAATAATAGAGTTATTGTTTTATATCAAATTTTACATACTTTTTAAAATAAATTTTTTATACAATTAAAGATTGCAAGTTTAATCTAGATGTAGCAGTTTGCAGATAGACATATTTTTGTTGGAAATCCTCTTATCCCAAATTACGACTAAATAAATTTATGCTTTGTTGGCAAGCAGCTTATAAACATGATTTCTGTAGCAATGAATGTCACTTAATGCAACACCTGGTCATATAAATAAAAAAATATCATCAGACTTTTTATTATTATTTACACATTAACTTTTTTTGCACCAAAACGTGTTATTAATGACCCTGTAGTAATAAATCTATAAATAGGATAGTAAATGCTGATGATATTTTAGCAGCTATTTGGCAAAGTAATAAATCTGAATACAGTGATAGTAAAGTTGGTGAAACAGAAATAGAATCTTGAATGATTTTTGTCATGATATGATGATAAAGTTGATATCATGATGTCATATTCAGCATTAGACAAACCCTAGCATGATGCTAACCTGATCCCAATAATTTTTTGATAATTTTTGATATCTAAAAGAGTTTTAAAAGTTCAAGTTTAAAGTCTAAACTTTAGCTAAACCATAAATTTTTTAATTTTTTTTTGTTTTTTGTTGAAATAAAAAAAATTTAAAAAGTCACATAATCTTTGTGTCCACTCACATTCTTTTTTTTTAGGTGGAGAGGTAACAGAAGGGGAGGGAGGGATAGATGTCACACCTCTAAGTTAGTGTATGTACCACTGACTAATGTAGTAAACTTAATTTCTTTAATGTAGTCAAACTGTTTTAATAATCATATTAGTTTCACTTTATTTAATCAACATAAAAAAATTTATAAAAATTAAATATTTTTATACTAAAGTGTGCTAAACACTCACCACACACACACACACACACCTTCCCCTGAGGAAGTAGGGACAGGAATGGCTTGCGATCGCGCGTTATTGCTGACCACGTAATTGATTTTATTTTTTGACAACTTGACCACGATTGTTAATACGTTTTGATGATTAAAACATTTCAGAAATGCGTTGAAACGCTAAGCTAAACAAAAAAAGTTAAAAAAAAATAATAATAAACAAAAAAAAAAAAAATCCTTACAAATGAAGAAATGAAAAAAATATTTCTTACGAAAAAAAATTATATAACCACTA